CATACGAGGGGAGACCCAAAGGGTAAAACACCTGCAACACGTGAACCAGGTCGGACAAAAAAGACCTTGACTTGAAGAGTGCCGAGGACCGATGATAGCCTTCACTGAAGCTGACCTAGAGATGGTCCAGCATCCGCACAACGATGCCTTGGTAGTATCCCTCCAGGTTGGGGAGTGCCAAGTGAAGCGCATCCTGATTGATCAAGGCAGCTCTTGCGACATCATGTATGTCAGATGTTACAAGGAGCTAGGCCTTCATCTTGACGACCTGGAACAATCCAGCAGCCCGATGGTCGGCTTCAATGGAACGCCGACGTGGCCACTAGGCGCAGCAAGCGTGGAAGTACAAGCTGGTACTAAGAAGATCAAGACAGAATTTATGGTGATTGACACGCCCTCGCCATATAACATCATCTTGGGAAGGCCATGGTTGCATGCAATGGGGGCAGTTCCCTCAACGTTGCATCAACTACTGCGGTTCCCAACAGAGCATAGGATTGAAGAAATCAGAGGAGATCAACTACAGGCAAAAAATTGCTCCATGGCAGCAATGAAGTCTACCTGCTACGTGTGAGAGCCAAAGAAGGCAGAAATTGAAGATGATGACGTAGAAGTCCTAGAAGACGTCGGCAAAGAACCAGCCGAGAAGAGCGAAGAGACGCTAAAGAAAATCCTCGTCCAGGATGGGGATGAAGAACGCTTCTTTTTTCTCGGCTCAAGCTTAGCCGAAGAAGAGGAGAAAGAGTTAGAAACTTTTCTAAGAGCCAACATTGAGGTGTTCGCCTGGACACCTTACGAAATGCCTGGCATTGACCCCGAGGTCACTTACCACAGACTGAATGTCGACAGGTCGGCAAAACCTGTGATTCAACGAGCCAGAAGACCGACGTTGATGCACGTCGAAGCAGTAGAAGAAGAGGTAGACAGACTTCTGGAGGCCAGGGCCATCCGAGAAGTTCACTACCCGACATGGCTGTCCAACACAGTAGTGGTGAAGAAGAAGAACGGCAAATGGAGGGTCTGTGTAGACTTTACCAGCCTCAACAAAGCCTGCCCCAAAGACAGCTTTCCTCTACCCAAGATTGACCAGCTAGTAGATGCTACTTCAGGGCATGAAAGGATGAGTTTTCTGGACACATACATGGGGTACCACCAGATTGCCATGTACCCTCCAGACGAGGAGAAGATCGCGTTCATCACCCCTAAAGGCCTGTACTGTTACAAGGTAATACCTTTTGGGTTGAAAAACGCGAGGGCAACTTACCAAAGATTGGTAACCAAGATGTTCAAGTATCTGATTGGCAAAACGGTAGAAGTCTACATCGATGACATGGTCGTAAAGACCAAGGAATCTAAGGGTCATCTTGCCGACCTAAAAGAGGTCTTTCATATACTCAAAACATACCGGCTCCGACTCAACGCATCAAAGTGTGCGTTTGGAGTTGGATCAGGTAGGTTTTTAGGGTATCTGGTAACAAGAAAGGGCATTGAGGCCAGCCCAGACCAAATTAAGGCCATTCTAGAGCTGAAGAGCCCGACGTCGGCAAAACAGGTTCAGATGCTTACTGGAAGGGCCGCAGCCCTAAACAGATCCATCAGCAGAAGCTCAGATAAGTGCAGACCCTTCTTCAACCTGGTGAAAAAAGCCACAGACTTCCTGTGGACAGAAGAATGCGAAGCCGCTTTGACCGACCTGAAGAAGTACTTGACCACAACTCCGGTTCTTTCCAATCCAAAATCAGGGGAAGAACTGTTTTTGTACTTGGCAGTTTCAGAACACGCAGTCAGTGCAGTACTAATCCAAGAGGAAAAAATGGGAGCAAAAGGCTGTTTATTATGTAAGTAAAACCTTGGCCGATGCAGAAACAAGGTATCTACCACTAGAGAAATTAATGCTAGCTTTAGTAGTGGCTTCAAAGAAGTTGAACCATTACTTTTAGGCGCACAAGATTGTGGACCTAACAGAGCACCCACTGAAGTCCTTGTTGCAACAAAGAGACTTAACAGGGAGGATAGCAAGATGGGCAGTAGCCCTGGGCCAGTATGACCTGGAGTTCAGGCCGAGAACAGCAATAAAGGGCCAAGTTTTGGCCGACTTCGTGGCAGAATTCACGCCTGAAACCGTCAAACATCGGGCTTCGTTGAGCCAGGATGAGCATTGTCCCAGCAAGCAAGGAGAATCCCAGCAAAAGGCAAAAGAGCAAAGGAATGAAAAACTTAGACCCTACAGCATCTACATCGGCGACTCGTTCAGACTGTTCGTCGATGGAAGTTCGAACCGACAAGGAGCGGGGGCAGGAGTACTGCTGATATCTCCAGATGGAGAAATAATAGAACAGTCCATCCGTTTGGGGTTCAAGGCCTCAAACAATGAAGCGGAATACGAAGCATTAATTGCAGGGCTAAAACTGGCAGCAGCAGCAGAAGCAGATGAGGTAATAGTTTTTTGTGATTCACAGCTTATTGTTAACCAGTCAACAGGAGAATTTGTAGCTAAGGACGAAAGGATGTCGGCATATGCAAAAGAGGTCATCAGATTGGCAGTCCTATTTCAGAACTGCCGACTACTCCAAGTTAGCTGAGATGACAACACCCACGCCAACGCGTTGGCTAACCTGGCAAGCTCAATGCAAACTGGAAAAACAAGGACAATTATGATCGACTATATGTCGGGCCCGAGCATAGAACCACAGAGCACAGAGCAAGAAGCAATGTGCGTGGACTTGGGACCAAGCTGGATGGATGCAATCGTTGCATTCCTAAAAGAGGGAAAGCTGCCAGAAGACTATAAGGAAGCACATAAAATCAGATTGAAATCGGCCAGATTCAGTCTGACACCAGAGGGCCATCTCTACAGAAGGTCCTTCACTGGACCCCTTTTAAGGTGCGTACACCCTTTGCAGGTTGAAGATTTTCTATACGAGATTCATGAAGGGATTTGTGGAAGCCACGTTGGGGGCAGATCGTTAGCCCACAGGGCCATTACCCAGGGGTATTGGTGGCCCTACATGCAAAAGGATGATGAAGCCTACGTGAAGAAGTGTGAACAATGCCAAAGGTTTGCACCTTTGATACATCAGTCGGCTGTTGACCTAAACCCAGTATCCAGCCCTTGGCCGTTTGCCCAATGGGGCATGGATCTTGTTGGGCAACTCCCCCAGACAACTGGGTAGAGAAAATACTTGCTGGTAGCAACAGATTACTTTACGAAGTGGATAGAGGCAGAACCTCTTGCCAAAATCCGAGATGTGGACGTCAAGAACTTTATATGGAGAAACATCATCACCAGATTTGGGATTCCAAGAGCAACAGTTGCCGACAACAGAACACAGTTTGACAGCAAACTCATCAAGAACTTTTGTGCGAAATTCAAGATCAAGACTTACTTTTCAACACCAAGTTTTCCTCAAAGTAATGGGCAAGCAGAAGCATCCAACAAAGTAATTTTGGATGGAATAAAAAAGAGGCTGTAGGCAGCAAAAGGAAAGTGGGTAGATGAGTTGCCCAACGTACTTTGGGCATATCGGACTACGCTAAGAAGATCAACAGGGGAATCCCCCTTTGCCATGGCTTATGGTACAGAAGCAGTCATCCCATTGGAGATCGGCATCCTAGGGATTTTAACCCAGGGAGTAGAGAATGGCACCAATGACATACTCTTAGCTCGAGATCTGGATCTTTTGGAAGAACGAAGAGAGAAAGCTGCAATTCAGCTCGCAGTATACCAGCAACAGCTTGCCAGAGCTTACAACAAGAAGGTCAATCCAAGAGATTTTCAAGTCGGCGACCTAGTCCTGAGAAAAGTCGTCGGCAATAAGAAGGATCCCAGAGAGGGCAAGCTTGGCCCAAACTGGGAAGGACCCTACAAAATTACTTCGGTATTAGGCAATGGAGCTTATCGGCTTGAAGACAATGAGGGCAAAGCATTGCCAAGACCTTGGAACACTTGTAATTTGAAATTTTTCTATCATTAGATGTGCATTATCTTTGGCCGATATCACCAATAAAATCGTTTCTGAATTCTTCGAACACATATGATTGATAAAAGATACACAATGTTGTTTCTGGTAGACATGATTAATGAGAACCCAAGTGGAACTTAGGTTCACATTGGGGGCAGAGAGAAGACAGAGACACTTAATTCACTTGTTAAAATTTGTAGCAATTTACAAGTTGGAGTTAAGCTGATTCCTTATCTTCACTTGTTGAAATTTGTAGCAATTTACAAGTCGAAGTTAAGCCAAGATTATTCCTTATCTTCACTTGTTGAAATTTGTAGCAATTTACAAGTTGCAGTTAAGCCGAGATTACTGTTTCTCTTCGCTTGTTTAAAATTCGTAGCAATTTACGAGTTAAAGCAAAGCCGAGGTTATTGCTCAAACACTTATAGCAATCTACATGTTGGTTAAACCAAAGAAGATGCTTAACACTTGTTGAAATTTGTAGCAATTTACAAGGTAACATTAAGCCGACATATGATTACTTGTTGAAATTTGAGGCAATTTGCAGGTTGAAGTAAGAACTAAGTATATTGCTTAAACACTTGTTGAAATTTGTAGCAATTTACAAGTAGGTTAGACCGAGATCACTGTTTAAACACTTGTTGAAACTTATGAAAAGTTTGCAAAGTTAACACCGAGTAGTATATGTTTCATGCTTGTTAAAATTTATGAAAAGTTTGCAGGTCAGTAGCTTGCCGAAGTAAAAGTTTTTATTATACCCGAGGTATGTAACCCCGAGAAGATTGCACAAGGAAGGAAGAAGTATGTAAATCATGCAAAATATTCTAAGTATAGAAACCATGCAGAAGCAATCAAGAGAAATTGAAGATTAAAGCATCCATTGAAAAACAGTTGCAGGTGTGTACAAAAGAAGGCACTACGGCCTACCAGAAGTAAATTGTTCCGAAGTAACAAAAACAGAAGGCACCTCGGCCATATAAAGAAGCTTATATTGTCCAGGAAACAAAAAAAAGTACAAAAGACAAGAAAAGAGAGACATCAAAGTTGTGATTCCTCAGCCTCAGGAGCAACTTGGGCATGGACCTCTGCAGATTCTTGACGAGCTACTTCGGCCGCCTTCTCCATTGCAAGTTCTGCATCAATCTCAGCAAGATTTTCGTCGGACGAAGCGTGCTCGGGAGTGGTTTCCTTGGCAACCCCTTCACCCACATCATCTTGAGTTAAGTCCATGATTTGCGCACTTGAAGGAAGGGATTCGGTCCCAGCAGCATCCTTAGGCTTCCTTACCAAAACTTCAGCCTCATCCTCGTCCTCACCTCCATCTTCGTCCTCAGATTCAGAAGCATCCTCAGGTTGACTTGGAGGTGGAGGTGGTGGGAAGGGAAGAGGGATAACATCGGCATTGCGGAAGGGTGAATTGGCAGGAAGATCAAGTTTCTTTATCAAGGACATCCAACCAAGGGAGAAGCCCATATTGCATGCCTGCCTGACCTGAAGTTTGTATTCTTCAGTGACGTCAGCCATACCCTGGGCGTATGCCTTTTCGTCGGTCTCCTTAATTTCGACATCCTTGGCGGCCAGGGCCTCCTGCAGTTCCTTTTCGGCTTAGGCCTTTCTGTCCTCGGCCTCTATCTTCTCGGCTTCGGCAACCTTCCTTATGGCCTCGGCTAATTCAGCTTTTTCCTCGGCTATCTGTTGGGCCTTAGTTGCAGCCTCGGCCTGGTCTTCCAGCTTCTTCATTTTTAGTTGAAGACCTTTGTTGGTCTTCTGCAGGGCAGAAAACTCCTTCTTCATCTCGGTCATCCTTTCCCGATTCTTAAAAGATTGCATTGAAAACGAATGGGCATGCTGGATGGCCTGAAAGAAAACAGAAGAGTTAGAAAATATTTTTAAGTATGAAACAGAAAGCAAGTCAAAAGTTCAAAGCAGGAACACTTACTTGAACGGAGTGCTGAAGCATTAAAGCGTAGTTCTCATACTCACTGTACTCAGCATTTCGCTCCAGGTCCCCTGGAAGGAGAAGAGCAGTGCTAAGGGCGACGCCGACATTAATTTCATCGTCGGCGCTTTCACCAGATATGATTGGCATGTCCTCCAAAGTAATTTTGGGGGCCCAAGGGACATCCGGTTTCTTGGACCCCGAGGTAGAAGCTGAGGCCGACCTCGGCTTCTTTGACTGTGTGGATTCAGAGGGTTGGGTTTCAACAGACCTTTTTGCAGGAGCAGAAGAAGTCTTCTTACTCTCAGCCAGTTTGGAAATAGGCAAAGTGTCCTCAGATTCAACCTGAGTCACTTTGGCCTTTGGCTGAGCCCTTTTTGTTCTTTTTGGCTTTGGTGGGGGCATGGACTGGGATGGTTCAGCATCAGCATCAACTGGGAGGTCGGCTAGGAGATCATGGGCAACAGGCTTCGGGCGACCCATCTCAGCAGTCTTGACAAGTCGTCGCCGACGTTTTCTTTCTGGTATTGGGATTAAGTATGGGGCTGAAGTTGATGGTTGATCGACTGGATCAGAGGTTGACCTTTGATCAGCTCGAGATATTGATGCGGTTTATAAAGTGGTAGCAGAGGGAGGAGATAAGCTCTTCTTCTTTTTCTTAGGGACGTCGGGAAGGGTAGATCTGTATGTTGGGATGAAATTGAGGAGCACATGCGCTTTTCTTTTGTGGACTGGCAAGTCCAAAAGTTTCTTTAAATCTTTTCCAAGAACGTAGGACTGGCGAAAGCCTTTCGGAGGCTTGCGAACATCTGCAAGAGGAACAGATATTAAAAACAGACAAAGTGTTGAGGACCTGAAAAGAGACAACTAAGTGTTAACACTGGGCTCTTACCCTTGCCCTCTTTAACTGATCGAGGAAGAGGGTAGAGGTGAACAACTTCGTCTGGGCCAAATTCCCAACTTCCCGAAACAATGACATAGTCATCCCCGGCTCCCTTGTTGGAGTCTGGGAGGTCGGCTACAATTTTGAATTCGGTGGACCTCGGCTTGAGGTAGTAGATATATCCTCTTTCTTTCAGATTAAGGGCATACATGGTATAACAAAACTGAACATCGACAAGGGTGATTCTAACGTTCTCCTGCCTTGCTAAAACTATGATGCCATTGATCACTCGATAAGAGTTTATGACAAGTTGCATAGGGTTCAACTTGTAAAAGTGAAGAATCTCGCGAAAGAGAATGTTAAGTGGGAGCCGAAGTCCACACTCCGTAAAGGCAACTACAGGGAAGGGCATGGTATCGTCAGTAGGCATGATGGAGTCGTCATCCCCAGCCAACCTCAGATTGACGTTAGCTGGGATTTCGAACTCCTGCCTGAAGTACTCTAATTTCGTCGGGGTGTCTACCCTATGTCTCCACATACCCATAACGTCGGTCTAAAGTTAAAGGGCTGGGTTTCAGAAGAAAGATATTTCAGAAGGGTTGTTAGGACCTCGGCGAAATCCTAGGTATATGCTGGTAAGGATTGTTTCAGTTTTTTCCTAAGAATTAGAAGGTTCTACAGACAAATCCCAAACCTAAATCTATGAAAGTAAAGATTGGGGGCACAGATCTGGAAAAGAAACACAGAAAAAAAGAAACAAAGAACGAAGTTTTAGAATCAAGAACAGTGGCAAGAAAAGTGTTGAAACAGTGCAAGTGTTCAAGACATGAGTGAAGTCATGGAATAGACGCATCCAGATGAATAGTTCAGCAAATCAAAGGTTTGAATAAAGCAATAATGGCAGCCAGTAAACAAAAGCACATAGAAGAAATTGGGAATAAGAGGAGTAGAGGCTTACCAAAACAAATGAAGGCAGAATGAAAGTCGTCGAGGTAAGGCAACGGTTGCAGACACGACGGAACGGCGAAAGCTTCGCTGGAATGGAGGAATAAAGACGATTACAGAAGCTTGGAGCCAGAGCAATGGCGGATTTGAGAAAGTTTAGAAAGAGAGAGAGCCAGAAAATCGAGTGCAAAAGTAAAGAAGTGAAAAGGGAAAGAAAAGTTTTATAAAAAATGTGAAACGGCGGCAAAACACGGCATTTATTGCGCCTGGAGGAACGCATGCGTCAGACGGCGTAGACGGATGAAAGACGGCTTACAGGCGCGTCGCTGGCACGGGCCAATAAAGATGAAACGTGTGCAATATCATTTTCTTAAAATAAAATATCCCCTCGTAAACGAAATTCTACACCACACAAATATATGGAAAATGATACTAGGCCCGACTCTTCAAGCCCGAGGGACACCGAGTGCTGCGTCATGCATACGTGGCCAGCCTACGTAAAGCTCTTTTCTTTCTTTAAAAATGGAAATTCTTTCTTTTACAAATATATGTTGTGGGGATATATTTTCTGAGAACCAACACGTGGCATGGTGACGCCGACGTGTCAGCCGAGGTGCCACGTGTCGTGGTAGTTATGCCGAGGTTATCTTGGCGAGGCCGAGGTTATCTCCGAAGATATCGGAATCCGGGATAAGTGGATATGGGACAAGAGTCCTAGGACAAAGAGGACTCTTGTCCCATATCCACTTCCTCTTTGTCTTAGGACTCTTGTCCCATATCCACTTATTCCGGATTCCGATATCTTCGGAGATAACCTCGGCCTCGCCAAGATAACATCGGCATAACTACCACGACACGTGGCACCTCGGCTGACACGTCGGCGTCACCATGCCACGTGTTGGTTCTCAAAAAATATATCCCCACAATTTAAATATAAATCATGATTATGTATAAACATTTTTTTTTTCAAGCAAAATGAGAAATTTTAAAAAAAATGTAAGTTGGTCTTAATTTAAATAAAGAAAGGAAGAAAATTACTAGTTAATAAATGATATGAAATATGAACAAAAATAAAATTTAATACGATTTACTTTACTCAAGTGTTTTTTTACTTATTTAGACAAACAAAACAGTATCAATATTATTTGTGGGGACATATTTTCTGAATACCAACACGTGGTATGGTGACGCCGACGTGTCAGCCGAGGTGCCACGTGCCCTGGTAATTAAGCCGAGGTAATCTCGGAGAAGCCGAGGTCATCTCCGAAGATGTCGGAATCCGAAGATAAGGGACAAGAGTCCTGAAGCAAAGAGGGGACTTAATTAAGATAAGGATAAAGCCCTTAGGGAGTTTATCTCTATCTCCTAAAAAGTCCAGAGTAAGCACTAAGATTGGAGTTCATAGAAGTCATACTTCTAGTTGGACTTGGATTAAGTATATTATAAAAGAGAGGCACCCCCGTGGGTCTAAGGTACGCAATTTATGTTTTGAGTATTCAGTTCAAGTACTTGATTATCTTTGAGAAAACATACTGACTTGATCGTCGGAGTGCCCCCGGGTGGAAGAACCACCGCCGGAGCTTTTTCTTTCTGTTACAGGTTGCTAAAGCCATCTATTCTGCCGGTGCTTTGCTGCTGATCACTAAACGGGCAGTGTGGTCAGATTTTTACCCACACATTATTGTTTTTTATGCATGAAATAATCAAATTTGTCAAATGCTTAAGATTGGCAAATATATCAGTCCCAACTAGGGTGTGGCTATTGACCAGGTGGGGACATGTTTGGGCAACACTTTGTTTGGGAAGTTAACAAAATAGTTTAAAAATTAAAAAATTATTAAAAAAATCAATAAATTATATATAAAAAAATTCAAATTTTTTTATTTCCTCTATACATTTTTATACGTTTTTCTTTTTTTTATAAAAAATTAAAAAGTCTGGGAGTAACGGACAAATTGACCTCGACATTGAAGGAGACAACCACAATTCAGAAGCCCGTGGCCAGGGCCACAGAGAAAACGACGTAAACCTGGAAGGCGACACGTCAAAAAGAACAAACCAAGGAAGGTACTACAATAAAGATAACCTCCAGGTATGGAGGGACAGGTGCCTACGGAGGGATGAGGAAGTAAAAGAATTGGCGAACAAGTTGGCAGACCTTCAGTCAGTCGTCAACTTCATGATGCAAAACAATGTAATGCAGCCACCATACCCGCTGCAAGATACGCCGATACCAGCGACCAACACCCAAAAGGGCGGGAGAAAAACAATCCCCGAGGTCCCTCAGCATACCAGGAGCGGAAGGCACTCTCACCGGTCTTCCAGGGAAGTCGGACGAGAAAGGCCGAGGCAAGAAGAGTCCCGAAGAACGCAACACATGAAGAATCCAGACCCCAAAGAACATCGACATGTTCAGGGGAAAATACTCCACTTTGACACAACCCATGAAGAAAGACCCAAACGGACCCACCTCGAGGCCGAAAGCAGTGTGCCAAAAAGATTAAAATCCAAAGACAGCCGAGCTCCAGGGAGGAGCAAAGAAGACCTAAGGGACTACCTCAAAAGGAGGCAGCAGAATGCGGAAGCCGAGGTAAACTCCCCAGTAAAACCAAAGACAGCCTTCTCGGTGGAACTGGACAGATTCGAACCACCCAAAAGATTCAGTATGCCGAGGTTCCAAATCTATGATGGTAAGTCAGATCCAAACTTTCATGTTGGGCTATACCTAAATTCAATGGCGGGGGGGGGGGGGGGGGGGGGGGGGGGGGGGGGGGGGGGGGGGGGGGGGGGGGGGGGGGGGGGGGGGGGGGGGGGGGGGGGGGGGGGGGGGGGGGGGGGGGGGGGGGGGGGGGGGGGGGGGGGGGGGGGGGGGGGGGGGGGGGGGGGGGGGGGGGGGGGGGGGGGGGGGGGGGGGGGGGGGGGGGGGGGGGGGGGGGGGGGGGGGGGGGGGGGGGGGGGGGGGGGGGGGGGGGGGGGGGGGGGGGGGGGGGGGGGGGGGGGGGGGGGGGGGGGGGGGGGGGGGGGGGGGGGGGGGGGGGGGGGGGGGGGGGGGGGGGGGGGGGGGGGGGGGGGGGGGGGGGGGGGGGGGGGGGGGGGGGGGGGGGGGGGGGGGGGGGGGGGGGGGGGGGGGGGGGGGGGGGGGGGGGGGGGGGGGGGGGGGGGGGGGGGGGGGGGGGGGGGGGGGGGGGGGGGGGGGGGGGGGGGGGGGGGGGGGGGGGGGGGGGGGGGGGGGGGGGGGGGGGGGGGGGGGGGGGGGGGGGGGGGGGGGGGGGGGGGGGGGGGGGGGGGGGGGGGGGGGGGGGGGGGGGGGGGGGGGGGGGGGGGGGGGGGGGGGGGGGGGGGGGGGGGGGGGGGAAGGGGGGGGGAAGGGGGGGGGGCGGGAGACGGGGGGGGGAAAAGGGGGGGGGGGGGGGCCAGGGGGAAAAAAAAAAAAAAAAAAAAAAAGAAAAAAAAAGGGTACCGTTTTGAACAGCACAGCAAGCATAGCAGGGGCACCACCGCAGTGACCCCTCATCCGTGGAAGAGTGGGTAGTTTTAAGTAATTTTTTCTTACAAATGTTTGCCTATAAATAGCCATTCATGGCTACATTGTAAAAGGGTCATGTCACGCCCTAAAATTTGGATAATTAAATATTAAATTAGAACTAAATCCCAA